CAGCCAAAGCTACATAATGAAAACCTAGCTCAAAAAAAAAAAAAATAAAATAAAAATAAAATAAATAAATAAATAAATAAATAAATAAATAAATAAAGGAAAGAAATATAGCCAGGTGTTGTTACTCACATCTACAATTCCAGCACTTGGGAAGAGGCCGAAGCAAAAAAAATTCCTGTTCTAGAAAAAGTTCTAAGGCTTTGTACTTACAAGGACTAAAGTTGAAGCGTATTAATTTCCTAAAGTGCCAATCCCTGGGGATTCCCTTACCACGCTGACCCAGAACATACAGAAATCCACCTGCCTTGGGCCTGGAGATAGGTTCAGCAGTTAAGAGCACTGGCTACACTTCCTGAGGACCCAGGTTCAATTCCCAGCACCCACATTGGGAATCTAGTAACTGTTTGCAACTGTAGCTCCAGGAGATCTGAAGCCTCTGGCCTCTGCCATCATGTGCACATACCCACTGTAACACACACACACACAATTTTTTTTTTTTTTTTTTTTTTCGAGACAGGGTTTCTCTGTGTAGCTTTGCGCCTTTCCTGGAGTTCACTTGGTAGCCCAGGCTGGCCTCGAACTCACAGAGATCCGCCTGGCTCTGCCTCCCGAGTGCTGGGACTAAAGGCGTGCGCCACCAACGCCCGGCTTACACACACACAATTTTAAAGATAAAATAGACCTTTAAAAATCTATTAAAAATATGCTGGCTAGTTTTATGTCAACTTGATATAAGCTTAAAGTTATCTGAAAGAAAGGACCTTAGTTGAAAAAAATGCCTCCCTAAGATCCTGCTGTAGAGCATTTTCTTTTTCTTCTTCTTTTTTTTTTTTCCCCGAGACAAGGTTTCTCTGTGTAGTTTTGGTGCCTGTCCTGGATCTCACTCTGTAGACCAGGCTGGCCTTGAACTCACAGAGATACGCCTGCCTCTGCCTCTGGAGTGCTGGGATTAAAGTCGTGCACCACTGCCACCCATTGGGCATTTTCTTATTAGTGATTGATGAGGGAGGGTCCAGTCCATTGTGAATGGTGCCAATTGATGGTCCTGGGTTCTATAAGAAAACAGGCTGAGCAAGCCATGGGGGAGCAAGTGAGTAAGCAGCACCTCTTCATGGCCTCTGCATCAGCTCCTGCCTCCAGGTTCCTGCCCTGCTTGAGTTCCTGCCCTCACAGCTTTTGGTGATAAACTGATACATGGAACCGTGAGTAAAATAAACCCTTTCCTCCCCAATTGTGTTTGGTCATGGTGTTTCATCACAGCAATAGTGACCCTAAGATAGGGATATAGCTCAGTTGGTAGAGTGCTTGCTTACCTAGCATGTGCCGAGTTCTGCATTTGATCCCTCATGTTGTATAAAATGGGGCTTGGTGGTGCACACTTACAATAGGGAGGTAGTAGAAAGCAGATCAGGAGGACAAGTCCAGACAGGTTATATAGAGAAGCCTCTGTTAAAAGACTATCTTTTAACATGAATGTCGTAGCCCAGCAAGACAAACTTTTTCTTTAAATGGGTGTACTGTGGTGGCCTCTGGCTTTTATCCCTAAAGCAAGGGAGAATGTGGTACTTCCTACTCTTGACTGACTAATTTGGAAATCTGTGTGAGAAAATGAAGGAAATTGAGAGGGGGGCGTGGTCAACCTCTCAGGGCAACCTGCCTGTAGGAATGCAGCAATCCTTTATATAAACAAACGTTTTTGTGTTCTTAACTGTTGTTTTTTCCTCCCTTTTTTTTTTTTTTTTTTTCAAGACAGGGTTTCTCTATGAAACAGCCCTGGCTGTCCTGGAACTTGCTTTCTAGACCAGGCTAGCCTCGAACTCACAGAGATCAGCCTGCCTTTGCCTCCTAAGTGCTGGGATTAAAGGCGTGTGTCACCACTGCCCGGCACGGATTTTTTTCTTTCTTCCTAATTTATATGTGCGTAGGTAGTTTGTCTGTTTGCTTGTCTATGTTCCACATTGTGCCCATGGAGGCCGAAAGAGGGTGTCAGATGCCCTGGAACTAACTGGAGTTAGCACATGTTGTGAGCCACCATGTGAGTGCTGGGAATTCAATCCCATCTCTCCAGCCCCAGGATTTAAAATCTGTTCATCTCCTCCACCTGGTAAAAGTTTTACTTACACAGGGCCTGGAGAGATGGCCCAGTGGTTAAGAGCACTGGCTGCTCTTCCAGAGGACCTGAATTCAGTTCCCAGCACTCACTTCAGGCTGCAGACAACCACCTGTAACTCTAGTTCCAAAGGATCCCAGGCTGTCTTCTGGCTTTAATGGGCACCCATATATACATGACAGGCACATGCACATTCATGCATGCAGGCTACATACAGACACACAAACATACACATAAATAAAAATAAACCTTAAATCTTGAATTCCTTTGCATGAAAGCTTTAAAAAGTGGGGGGAGATTTATAGTATATTGGTCCTTGGCAGGCTAGCCAACTTTATTTTTATTCATTTGTCTTGTGTTTGCCAAGGGGGTCAGAAGAGGGTGCTGGATCCCCTGAAATGGTAGTTACAGGTGGCTGAGAGTTTAGCAGGGTGCTAAAACTGAACCTGCTCCTAACTCAGGTCATTTCTCCAGCCAGCTTTGTCAAGAAAGAAAATCATTTCTCATACCTGGGTTACATGAGATGCTGTCTCATTTAAAAAAGAAGAAAGAAGAAAAGAAAAAAAAGAAAGAGGGAAGCCAGGCAGTGGTGGTGCAAGCCCAGCACTCGGGAGGCAGAGGCAAGGTGGTAAAGAACCTGAGTTTAGCCGGGCGGTGGTGGTGCACGCCTTTAATCCCAGCACTCGGGAGGCAGAGCCTGGCGGATCTCTGTGAGTTCGAGGCCAGCCTGGGCTACCAAGTGAGTTCCAGGAAAGGCGCAGTCATTGTTATTGGCCATCAAACAACAGAAGTTATTAGGGTTTTGTTTTGGTTTGTGTGTGTGTGTGACTGCATGTCAAATTCCTGGGGTTTGATTACCCAGGGATCCTGATAAACTTTCACTTCAGCATTGAGGGCAGAGACAGACGATGTTGCCGTAAGCTGGAAACACCCTGGGGCATGACAGGGACTTCAGCCTAGGCCTCTGAGTTGCTTCTAATGATGGCTGGTGACCAGTGGGGTCTGGTCTTGGTCTGTGCTGGTTGTTCCAGTTTCATCCTCTGTGAACCTGGGGTGATATCTCTGTGTGATATCTGTGCCTCTCTCAGGGAGCTCTTAAAACCATTAAGCCTGTTGAGACCAGGAGAGGCCCTTTGCTGTCAAGCCAACCGCTTTAGCAATAGCACCGGAAAGATCTGTGAGTAGTGAGCCCCAACTCACAGGGCGGTCTGAGCAGAGCTGGTCGTGGGCAGTTTGGGGGTAGCCAAATCCCTGTTGTCGCTGAGCAGCTACCTCAGGGTTAGAGGTCAACTCCTCCTCTCTTGACACAACTCGGGGTGGGGGGGGGGAGGAGAGAACGGGGCGAGAGGGGGAGAAGATCTCTCCCAGCATCAGCTTGCAGGAAAAGGTTCAGCATAGAGGCCATTGTCCAGATGAGAAAAGTCTTGGGAGGTGGGTGGGACAGGAAGAAAGTGGGGGCGGGCGCAGCTTTGTTCTTGGTGTTCCCTGTCGGGATGGGAGGGGGCGGGGAAAAGCCGGTATCCACCTCCAGTTCAGCCCATATGCCACCTCCTGCAGCCCTCCGCCCCTTCTCTTTGCCTCACGTCCCTCTCAAGGATCTTCTGAGCCTGTGGTAACAGAACCCTTTGTGTTGGGTCATGAAGAATGTGTGAGAGTTCCCCAAGGGATGAGAGAATTCTTTTTTCCTCTTTCTTTCTTTCTTTCTTTCTTTCTTTCTTTCTTTCTTTCTTTCTTTCTTTCTTTCTCTCTCTCTCTCTCTCTCTCTCTCTCTCTCT